ATCTGCCGTGAACAGATGCTCAGCGTGGAGATTCGTCTTGAATAGAGATGATAAGACCCCCCCCCCCCCCGAATAGAGCTAGCGTCAGGCATAGAAGAGGGATTTCGAATGCGTACATTACTGGGACAAGGGACGCCCATGAAGCAGCACTAGGGCATCTGTGGGAATGATGCAGCTAGTGAATGTGGTGATGGATATTCAGAATGCGGTTATTGAATTTGTCATAGGCAGGTCCTCGACTAGCCTTGATGAGGCACGGACATTTCGCGCGTTATCTGAGCAGACTCGGTTGAGACTAAAGTGGATGCCTGGGCATTCAGGGATCTAGGAGCTTGTTAGAGCAAAAGCCATCGTCCGATCCGACAAATGGATGTTCCCCAATCTGGAAACTCGACTCGAATCAATTAATATGGCATTTCTGTATCGACGATTGAATTCCTAGCGACAGGGACTCCTTGCCTACTTGTACAACGAAGCTATCCCATCTCGGTACCGCGAGCAGGATCTACTCATGCGTCATTATAAGCCGACGGAAGTGGGAATTTCCAGACTTGTGCTTCGAAGCATTATTGCAACACGCACGGGCCATGGAAACTCCGCGGCGTACCATCGCCGATTCAATAATGCAAAAGGCGTAAGGGAGTGAACGTATGGGAAGGAAACTAATCCGACTCACTTCATACACTTTCGCATAAGCGTACACATCACACATCACACATCACACGTCGAACCAGAGGATCATTGCCAGTCGGGATCCTAGAAATCAAGCTTATCGAACTAAACTGCGTCGGGAATTTCAAGTAAGCTGCGCAGGAAGCTAGGTATTCTGGAACTACTCATGTGTGACCATTTTCCACTCTGAGTGGAGATGGTGTATGGTAAGTTACGATAATTGAGACGAAGAGACGGGAAACGAAGTGAGGCAAGAAGTGTTGTTTTACAATGTGAACAGCTGAAAGATTTTGCTTGGGGCTAGAATTGATATTAACTTAGTACTTATTTTGTGATTGTTAAAGCGGTGGAATCAAGTTGTGTGTGTCCTAGATATAGTCCTGGCTGTGAACACCGCATCTATGTTCATGGTGGACCTGAAACTACAGCTAAGGGTCTTATCAAGACAAAAACAATTATTTAGTATTATCATTAGAGTCTACTTTTTCCTCATAATTTTGAGCCCAAGGTTGTAGTGTGTGCCTATGACCATTCGTAGCTAAATTGCTTTGCTTCTATTTCGTAAGACATACTAGCTCGCCTGAACCATCCGTCAAAAAGCTGCTTCAATTGCAAACGGGAGCTTGCCTCATCAATGAACAGCTTTCTCCCACTATCAAATTGCGTTGCTTCGCATACCCGCAAGAGGGCTCTAGGCCATGAGGTATAAAGCTCCGGCTTTTGCTGGTGGAGGATCGGTACTCGAGTTGGGCTACGTATGTTGAAGTAGAATAACAAGTTGGAGTACGGAACGAGAGAAAGAAATGGAAATTGAGGGTATTCCGGCATTACCATTTTCTTGTGCTAATGATTGGCAAGATTACGATGCACAACGGTTATGATCATTGGGAATGAAGAACTTTCCGGCTGATTTCATAACGAGTAGATGAATAATAGGTTACTGAATGGATAATTTTTCCAGGTAATACCACCAGATGGAAGACACAGAATAATCCGCAAAACTTCTCTGGAGAAATAGTGCATGTGTCCAGCTACCCTCTAGATAGCTCGAGGGGCAATGATGAAGGGCAAAGCGCTCCCACAATTGTTAGATCGAATAAGAACTTGTGAGGGGCTTTAATGCTTGGGGGAAAATATATAGAAGGTATAGGAATGAGTATACTACTTGCATGGTTATCCTCGGCGTATAGGTAGAGAATACAAATATGTCCTGTTTAGCCTTAGGATGAGATGAGATGACATTATAATATAATAATATAATCTAGAATATTCAGTATTACTTGACTATTATTTCCAGCATCGTCTTTGTAATCAAGCACATGTATTAGAAAATGTGTAATATTATAGAGTAATCCCAATTTATTCTATTTTTTAGAATAGTCCAATTATTTAAGTCCTTCAAGCAGCCAAACATTCTCTCTATGCAAAAATTGGGATATCAACATCTCATAATTTCAGCATCATAGACCTCTACCAGGTTTCCCAATGCGTGTGAGCCTCGCCTAATCTTCTGCACAAGATCTCAATAGATAAAGCAACACACGTCTGTTCGGTCTTTTATGAGTGCTCCATCTGAAGTTATGAATAAGTCTAAGATGGCAAGGAAACTATACCACTGCTTGAAGGCATTTGATCCCGAATATCTACGTGATAACCCAATAAACGATGGGGATTTCCTCCCAAATCAGTTACTATGATGGTGGGATTATGTCGAAGGGAAGCTCACCTGTGACTATTTAGCCTCCGCATTGCATCTCTATGTGGATATCTATACGTGGTACTAAAGTTAACATCCAATCTGACACTATCTTGATTACAGCGTTATACCACTGCAAAGGTGATCCAAAACTAGTGAAAATTTGTCCATGTACATCTGATCCACACGGAAACGAGACACTTGACCGACCTAGGAGCAAAGCTACATAGGCTGAAGCCGCTGTTCTAGTAGACACTTATTAAACATTTTCTTGATGACAATAGGTATGGGCCTACGCCATTGGTTTTCCCTTGCCGCTCGCATGTAAAGGTATTTGTCAACTTTGGGATTAGGTTTCGCCGTTGGCTTCATCTCTACGACCAGCTTTCTTAGATATCAAACAGTAGAATTTTTGATCATTTCGGCTAAATTTCGGGCAACTGTGACACAGGACGAGCTGTTCTCCAAATGCCTTGAGGGAAGCATACTGCATTGTGCGGTGGTAGGAAGGCTTATCTCAGGCGTCAACGGATTGTAGTTTTTGCAGGAGTTGGAACCTTACAATTAATCTGATGGGTCTCAATAGAGACCATTAGAAAACTAGACAAAACTGGAGTTGCCTTTTCGTTGAACGGAGTCAAAATTCCTGATGCTTCTGTTAGCGAATCAGCACATGCCTACCTTTAACAATTTCTCGGCATCCTAGGACAGAGGCCAAGTTTTTCCTATTTCTTATTTTATGCCATGTAAAATGGATGAGCAATACCTAGCAAGCCTAAATGATATTCTCGGCTGGGGTTGAAAGTTGTGGACGATAATTATGCAACAAAGGGAGCCATAGCGCTGCACAAAAACTCTAAATAGAGTAGATTTGTGTGGGGTATGTGGAGGTAGGGGATGTCGCCACTGAAATGCCGGGACCCAAAATCTGCCGGGATTAAAAATGCTGGGGTCCTAAACTGCCGGGGCCCAAAAATACTGGGATCTAAAGCTACTGGGATCCAATAAATGCCGAGACTAGGGGATCACGTCCGCTAGAGAGGCGAGCGAGTATTTGCCTTGCCGGCTGGATGATCTACCGCATTCATCCTCAGAAGAATAGAAGAACTCCACTAATGCGCAATAAACCCCCACCGGTATGTCACGTGTACTGAACTGCACTTCACAATCGTCCAGGCCATGCCAAACTAGATGGCACCTATCTACTCTGATTAAACAGTTTGTGAAGCTCTCTCTAGCAACCCTTTCCTGCCATTCCAGCCTGTACAAGGATTGTGTCTTCACCTCACAATAACTTAATCTCGACATGCCTTAGGGTCATACGTTAGCCGGAAGGAATTAGTCTTTCGATTCATCGGGCATGAGATAAGTCTATCCGTGAGACTCAGAGCTAATCCCGATTGGCATTCTATTGTCCAAGAAAAAGGCTAGAAAACCATAGAGGGTCTCTATATTACTTTTATACTTTTTTCTAAATTATGATGCCCGGTGAAGGACTTGCACATCTGTGCTGTTCAAACTTTAGATCACAGAAAAACTGGACCATGGATTTTTATGGCAATTTGGGCAAAAATGGGCGCCAAAATCTCGGGTAACTTGACGGCATTGGGCTATCTGGAAGCAGATAAAATTCTTAGCCATTTACGGGATATACTACGAATGCTCTAAACTGATGTAATGCTACTCAAAAAATCTCTAGCTGTTAAGCGTTGATCCGTAGACTTAGCCAATATATTGGACGCCTGTCAAAAGTGTGGCACCATGATTATGAGGGAAATGAGGAATATAGTCAGCACAACGTACTCGTAGCAAGTTCCAATTCTAGACCTACATGAAGAGAGGGACATTTCTGGTTGGGTTGAAATTGAGAAAAGATAAAAATTTGATCGAGCCATTTGTTTACCCGTGAAAAGTTACTTCATCTGTCCCATCTAAGGCACCTAGTTACTGAATGTTTCCCCACTAGACAAGACAATTACATTGCCGCCCATGGTTACTCCTACAACATGGATTGAGAACGAAGGATTTGAGTTCAGACCCTTTCAAAGCCCATTTCAGTGCTATGTTTGCCGGGCGTGGCTAACTTGATGGGAAGATTGAGCTATGAAGTTGCTGCCCCACAAGAAAAGGCAAAGGGTGGGCTCTGAGATTTAACACCCTGCCAGGGGATTTCCAGCATTCTTTCGAGTATCGAACCCTACAATCTATGCTATTTCCATGCTATTCACGCTAGGATTCTTGTAATTGATCGAACCAAGTATCACCTAGGGGTCATTTGACCATCCAGTAATCACCATAAGCTTTGAGAGCAGTGGATTCACACTTTAAAGCCCACAAGCGTTAGTTATCTGAGGCCAGTAGAAATGAGAATAGTAATACAATGATTCATGCCAATTTCTACACTTTCAGCTTCTTGATTGTGAATATGTATTAAGATAGACTATATAAGCCTGAAAGATTCTCACATTCTTGTCAAACAACATTTCCAATCGGCTTGCAGCAACATCAGACGTCGCTATACACTGAAATTTGCAATTCAAACTCGGCCAGATAAACTTTGGACTATTCTCTTATATAACGAACATTAAAGAGGCTTATCTAGATACATCAATAAAATCACAGCTTCTGCATCATGAGTTGCGTATACGTCATTCTTTTTACTACCTTGAGGCGTATGGTCGTCGTCGGAAACTTTTTTTCGACTTCTCATTATGGTGTATATGAGGCCTCTTCATCCAGTTTACCTGTGTTCAGTCCTGACCTAGCTATACACATGTCCCCAAGCAAAATTATCAAGAAAGGGGCATCTGTTGTGGCTTATTGTACTATTATGGACAATTTCGAGACACTCGTCGAAATAGTCACTGGAGATTTGGTACAAGTCAAGGAGTTACCCTTGACTATATCTAAGACAAGAAATGTAGCAGAAAAGACTTGTCTAAAATACATCACTGAATTTAATAACAACAAAAAAACAGCTAAGCCTCTATCACAGCTTGGTAATACCGACTGTTCGCACAAGATTATAGCTAGCTTAGCCTATAAAAAAGCTATTACACTTGAGGGAAGATATACATGCTCTAAATCTTCGATAACGGGCAGTCCTATCAGGATTAACGCTGATGTACCGATCCGCCTCCGAGAATTTCTCTCCGGAAGGCCCATACTGAAATCGTCAAATAATGACCTGGATGAAGCTCTGGCTTGGTTTCAAGGAGATCTTCACTTAATTCGACGCTTGAAATATTACAACGAAGGGCTTCCTCAGTGGAGGTTTGTCACCGAGGTTGGCAGGAAAAATAACAACGGTAGATTGATTGCAGAGTTAATAGAATATAAATTGGTCGCGATCCGTGACTTCTCCAAAGCCATGAAATATTTCGAGTCAATCAAAAACGAGTTCGATAATTCTGCCGATGGCTTACATCATTTGAAAACCAATCAAGAACAATATGGTGTTGAACTAAGCTACTTATACGATAGTAGTTTTTTTACGAATCATAACGACTTCAAGCACGTCCCCCGCTATCTTGTATCGACTGATGGCGTAGCGCCCGGAGATTTCAAAGTTGACTTTAAGTTCAAGTCGAAAAGTATGCTTTCGAGGAATCGAGGCCCGGCCGACAAACACACTTTCAAATATGACCAAGGAATTACTTATCTAACATACCGCTGGCTTAGGCTGAAGAACTTTATGATCCCACCACAAAAAAGTACTAGATCAATCGCTGGAAGATTTTCAGAGTCGTATGAGGAAGGTTGGCTATGTCCTTTATGATTTACTAGCCACAGGAGGGCCCTTTTTTTTTAAAGATTAATCAGTTGAGATCATACAGTCTGCGCCAACACTTCAGCGGTATAATACGGGGCTTTGCTAGCCGTTGGGATCATGATTTTTACAACTTGGATACGGTTGTTTAGCAATATAACTTGTTATAGTAGGCGTTGGTGGTTGGAATTCTGTATTTGTACAGTAAGGAGTAGGAAAACTTTTACCTCTAGATTTAATAAATATTTTGAACTTATTCTGGACTTGCCATCTCATTTACCAACATCAATGAATCCAGCGACGGATTTTTGAAACCTCTAACCCAATCCTAGGTCTTTAACGCAGTGAACCAAGATATGGGATCCATCTCAATCAGGATCTGAACTGATCCAATCACACCGCAAGCTCTTATATAGCGGGGCTTACAACTGTATGGAATATTCTGATACTTTTTCTATATATAACGACCAAGCCAGAAGACTTATGAACGATAAAATCAAAGCTTGTTTAGCTAGCGATTCTCAGGGAATAAGATGATAATACATGTACCTTTTAGTAGGTGAAATAGAGTGGCTCTTGCATTATCCAATTAAAATTAGCTTATTTAGGTTTATTGTGAGGTGTTGGACTGTTCTAGTCATATAGATAGAGTTGTGCATGAAGATTTATCAGATTTTTCTATAACCTCAACGGCAACATAGTCGGAGCCGATAAAAATAGAACATAAAGAACGGGCCACAACCGGAGGGCATCTCTAGAAATTCCAACGAAGCAAACGATGACAAGGTTAGCGCCGAAAAACTGTGAGCCCAAACATTGCTCGAAGAAGAGGGAAGAACAAATAATTTGGCAGTCTTCACAACAGAAGAAACTTCAATTCGTATGTGCTGAGGGCCACGAATAGCCAGGGAAGCTAAATGAACCGACTCCGCCTAGAAAGCGGTGAGAGGCTTATAGATGTTATTAAAATCCCGAAACAGTCTAAAGATATTTAGCACGAATAGTTTGGGTTGTAACCGAAACAGCCTCAAATACCGAAATGCCGGACAACTCCTTTCGTATGGATAATCTCAAGTTATTCAAAATTAAGCAGTCATTGGGATTAGTCTACGTGGTGATGCCAAGTCGCAAACAAACCTTGGTGACAAATCACCATCATGAATAACGGCATCGACGATGAATTGTGAGGGAGATTTGGTCATGGGAGTTTCTCATATAATTTTAAATGAGGGGCCGCTTTGCTTACATCCTGGATCACCAAAAGTGACCGCCAAAAGAGGGGGAGACATAGCGTAGATCTAAAAGCATCTAAACCATGACGTATCGAGGAATTAATTAATACCCTTCGAAATCGGAGAGTTTGCTTACGATGCGAGAATCTCGTGCACAATTCACAATTTATGACCATGGATCTTCTAAGCGACCAACTAAGATTATTAACAAGCAAGAGTTGGACACTTTATTTTGGCTGGGCATGTCAGCACAAGATTAGGCTACGACAAATGTCGCGGCTGGAGTAAAAGAAGTCTGAGAAATTTTTATGAGGTCAAAAGGGAGTAATTGAAAATGTTGGGGTATAAACGGCTTTCAAGTTTTTCTTGATGCAATATTTTTTGCTATTCATGATAGTGCTCAAATAAATGGGTGCAATATTTGTGGAAGGAAAGGAGTTGACTCAATGAAGATCACCTTTAAATTGACGCTAAACGAGGAAAATATGTGCTATACAATTTCGAGTATAAGCTATGCGGAGCTAAAACCACGGCTAGCCCGACGGTGACGCAATTTAGGCTTTGAAGTCCCCCGGAAAATCATTTGTGCTTACGCCATACAGCTGCTCAGGTATCCCAGTGTGGCCTGAGGCGCTATTTTTATTACACGTTCCGATCTCCATACAGGACACGAGATATTATCAAGAACTCAGATGGCATAGAGGACTCTCGAGTCCAAATAGATGTGCTTCTTTATTTCCGATAGTTCTAGGCTTTTACCTGTAAAAGTTTACTTTGGTCGTAAAATCCATGGCAATTCAAGTCACAATGCTGCAAACCACTTCAGCTTCCTCCTACCACCATATTTCATACAAGGGGCAAATCAACTTTCTTCTCGGCGAAGCTTAGAGCCCTTGATGACTGCCATCCGCTGGGGATCGCGCCGCAGTATGCCCAATGTGGGCATACAGAATCATGACAAGATTACCTGAACATTCGTGCGACCCAAAGTTCAGATTTCAAGAGCCCAGCACAAGTACCGGTAGCTATCGGATGTAGGACGGTGGAGCCACTCCTACTACCGTCCTACTAATCGCGACCAGGCTCGAGTTTGAGTTCGAGCTCGAGCTCGACAGATGAGCAGATAAAGGCTTGCACACGATGGATCGATAACCTGTCGGAGTCGGAAGTTTGCGCTTATTTGGATGGCACACTCGATTGCTCATCGCTCATCTGCCGTGAACAGATGCTTAGCGTGGAGATTCGTCTTGAATAGAGATGATAAGACCCCCCCCCCCCCGAATAGAGCTAGCGTCAGGCATAGAAGAGGGATTTCGAATGCGTACATTTCTGGGACAAGGGACGCCCATGAAGCAGCACTAGGGCATCTGTGGGAATGATGCAGCTAGTGAATGTGGTGATGGATATTCAGAATGCGGTTATTGAATTTGTCATAGGCAGGTCCTCGACTAGCCTTGATGAGGCACGGACATTTCGCGCGTTATCTGAGCAGACTCGGTTGAGACTAAAGTGGATGCCTGGGCATTCAGGGATCTAGGAGCTTGTTAGAGCAAAAGCCATCGTCCGATCCGACAAATGGATGTTCCCCAATCTGGAAACTCGACTCGAATCAATTAATATGGCATTTCTGTATCGACGATTGAATTCCTAGCGACAGGGACTCCTTGCCTACTTGTACAACGAAGCTATCCCATCTCGGTACCGCGAGCAGGATCTACTCATGCGTCATTATAAGCCGACGGAAGTGGGAATTTCCAGACTTGTGCTTCGAAGCATTATTGCAACACGCACGGGCCATGGAAACTCCGCGGCGTACCATCGCCGATTCAATAATGCAAAAGGCGTAAGGGAGTGAACGTATGGGAAGGAAACTAATCCGACTCACTTCATACACTTTCGCATAAGCGTACACATCACACATCACACATCACACGTCGAACCAGAGGATCATTGCCAGTCGGGATCCTAGAAATCAAGCTTATCGAACTAAACTGCGTCGGGAATTTCAAGTAAGCTGCGCAGGAAGCTAGGTATTCTGGAACTACTCATGTGTGACCATTTTCCACTCTGAGTGGAGATGGTGTATGGTAAGTTACGATAATTGAGACGAAGAGACGGGAAACGAAGTGAGGCAAGAAGTGTTGTTTTACAATGTGAACAGCTGAAAGATTTTGCTTGGGGCTAGAATTGATATTAACTTAGTACTTATTTTGTGATTGTTAAAGCGGTGGAATCAAGTTGTGTGTGTTCTAGATATAGTCCTGGCTGTGAACACCGCATCTATGTTCATGGTGGACCTGAAACTATAGCTAAGGGCCTTATCAAAATAAAAACAATCAATTTTAAGAAATTCGAAGGCTCTCCTTTTCTCCATGTTTTCCTCGCAACATTACACAACGATAACTCTGTAATTTTGAGCTGCCGTAGGCTATTGAAGTGTCTTCAGCGTTTGATTATTCAATCTCAGCGATAGAAAACCGAAGAAGAAGCGAGGAAAGTGATTAGTCTTCGACCACGCCCTTCACAGTATAGCAAAGGCGGATGCTCACTCGGGTAGGAAAGGAAGGTAGCTGGCTCAGCTAGACCCGACGACCAAACCGAGGCAGAAGTAAGTGCGCTATCGATGGCGCAATATAGAGAGAAACGACATCAGGCGCTGGTGTGTCCTTCAAATTTGGTATATTGCTGAAGCTGAAGAGTGCCGTACGACACGAACAACGCCATGTATCATTATCTGTTCGACTGCCTTGGTGATTCGATGCAAATGTAACTACGAGCCGCAATTATACAGTTCGTTAGTGCTGTCCACAGCACAACACCACATATTCTCTCTCCTGATGGAGCGAATCAAGCAAAACCCATACACCACTTTCTCTCGAGGTGATATTGTATTTGTTGGATGATGAAAGCACACTCGGATAACCATAGGTTTTTCACACTTTCCCCTGTAGCTGGTATACACGGAAGAGTTTATACGCCGTAAGAGTTAACCTCGAGTGGTATCTGCAAATGAAATCTGAGCGTGAGTGTTCTAAACGTCAATTCGAGTCATCCTAATTAAAGTACATGTCTTCCCATAGAACCTGCACGGGCCTCAAGGCGCCAAATCAGGTCAAGTGAATAATATGATTTGATTTGTGTTCATTATGCTGATTTGGCGCCCTATGGGCCCATGCAGGTGGCTATAAACCTATCTATATATTTACATAGGAGGAAACCTCTCGGTGAAAACTCCCCAAGCTTTCTGATTTAATTCTTATTGTTTGCAGTTTATCCTTCAGGAAGTACAGTTACACTGTAATGCCGTCGATGTGTACCAATCACGTCCCTTCTATCGACCCCAACCTTCTACATGTTCCATCTCGTTCCCTGAGCAGCATTTCGACTGCATTTGTTAAGCGGAATTGTTCTATCCAACCATGATTAATAATCCATCGTGTGATTCTTTTCATATCGCTAGGATTGTTGGTCATTGCTTCAAAGGAGCGATTTCGGGCTTGTCTCCAGATCTCTCCTCTACCAATGGACCACTTAGGGCAGGACATGATCATGTGCTTGGGATCAAGAGAATAATTTATTTTAACAGGTAATAGCTCGCTTAGTCGAGTGACAACCGGTTTTGCAATTTTGGCAAATAGTGACAACATACTGTTAGAAATCGATGTTCTTGCCATTGTGCCTTGTTAATTTCTCATGAAATTCTCGGTAGAACTCAATAACAAGCTATGGATCTCTACTTGATCCAATCAGTAGATAGGAAGGTTCGGTTGCGAGATA